TTTCTCCTTACTTCTAGGTTGCTTCTCTCCTTGGTTAGTTTCCACCCGTTGCTTCTTGTCCTGCCTTCAGGCGCTTTGGAGAATAGCTTGACTCCCTCTTCTTTGGGGCAGCCCCTGAGATATTGGAATACTGCTATCATGTCCCCCCTCGTCCTTCTCTTCGTTAAACTAGACATACCCAATTCTAGCAACCGTTCCTTATATATTTTAGCCTCCAGTCCCCTAATCATCTTTGTTGCTCTTCTCTGTACTCTTTCTAGGGCCTCAACATCTTTTTTACATCGTGGTGACCAAAACTGATTTATAAATCTTTTGTTCCAGTCCTGTCCAAATATATTTGGTTTCACCAGAACTGCTCATAGAAGGAGCACACGGAGGATGTATTAGGAGACCCTCTAAAAATGGGGGGGGCTCTCTCTTTCTCCCCTCCCTGCCAAAAGGTCTTGATAGGAAGCAGAATGGCTCTTTTTATTTCAGGGGGCCTCCCTGTGACTTACCCCAGTCTGAACTGTTGGATCCTTTGTAACTTGCTAGAAATGAAAGAAAAGTGGGAAGGTCAGTCTCTTGGCTGATAGGAGGAAATGAAAAAACTCAAATCTTTCTGACCCCCCCCCCCTCTCTCTCTCTCTCTCACACACACACACACACACACTCAAATACATTCAAAAGGTTTAAAATCAAGCTGCTTTAGCTAAGAGACCTAAGAAAGAATGCTGAATATGTATATGGACAGATTAATATTTATGTGTATATACATATATATGTATGGGATACATGTATGTATGTGTGTGTGTATATATAGGCACACACATACATACATGTATATATATATATATATATATTTGTGTGTCTTGAGTGTTTTCTTTTTTTTTTACAATGCACCCTGTCGGCCCAAATATGGGAAGAAGAAATTTATTTATTTATTTATTTATGAGACTTATATACTGCTTTAAGTGCAAGCACTCTCTAAGCGGTGTACACCAGTAAGAGATGTATATATATATTTACATTGCCCCCAACAATCTGGGTCCTCATTTTACCTACCTCGGAAGGATGGAAGGCTGAGTCAACCTTGAGCCGGTGAGATTTGAACCGCTGACCTGCTGAACACAGTCAGCTAAAGTGGCCTGCAGTACTACACTCTAACTGCTGCGCCACCTCGGCTTATTTATCTTTTGCCTGTATCAGCCCAATCTAGGGCTATCCACAGGCAGCAGTCATTACTGCGACAATCATTTTTATGTTACGTTTGGATTGCTAACAAAGAGTTAAAGGGAGAGTGGCATAGCTATTTCAAGCTACTTAGCTCTCATCATCAATGAGATGGTGAAAGATTTTTCATGAGCCTGAGGTAGATTGGCCTGTGTAGACAACATAATGCTATCTGTTGTAGGAATGGGAGGAGGATTTCCTTTGGCTCATCTTAATGAGATGAATTATCTCTCATGGAGCTTAAAAATGGAAAATGTTGTTGTGGAAGGAGGATTTGTGAACAGTTGTAAGCAATCCTCCAGCACAGTGGTTCTCAACCTGTGGGTCGGGACCCCATTTGGGGTCGAACGATCATTTCACGGGGGTCGCCAAACCACGCTGTCTGCCATTTTTTTCCCTTTTCCCTAGCTGTCCTACTCCCTCTTACTGGTGGCCACACCCACTTGGGGGTCACCACAACATGGGGAACTGTATTATGGGGTCACGGCATTAGAAAGGTTGAGAACCACTGCTCCAGCACATGTCAATGAGGAAGAGCAAAAGCAAAATGAAAAAGCACTACCCAGCACAATTTTCTCCTTGGAAAATAGTCAGCTAATGCATATGCTAGAGAATGCTGGCTTGCCTTACACAGAATTTATGTAACTGAGATGGCAAATAGTAAAATAACTCTCACCAGAAAACTGTACAGAGCCAGGCTACAGTCTGGAGAAAGTTTTGTCAGATCACCTCCAATTCATGAGAAAAAACCTTCTTTTAATTAAAATAGCAAGGAATGGCATTTTCAGAAGCAAACAGAGTGTATGTTGTACTGAGTTCTCTTGATCAAGGCTTTTCAACCAGTGGTACGGGTACCACCTATGGTACATTGGCACCTGGCAGGTGATACGCGACCATCCTAGAAAAGTGGTAGCGGGGGAGGGGAATGAGCTGAACCGGTGGCAGCACCGCACAAGCCTGAGCGAGAGACGGCTGGAGCTGCAGGGCTGTCGGGGCTCAGCGGAAGCGCCAGGATCAGCACCAGGCTCAAGCTGGAGCTCGGCGCTGATCCTGGCGCTTCTGCTGAGCCCTGAAGAAGCACCAATCAGCTGGAATGTTGCAGCCTCTCCAGGGTCTTGTGATTTACATTCAGATGCTTGGCAACTGATTCGTATTTATGACAGTCACAGTGTCCCAGGGTCATGTGAACTGACCAAAACCTGCTGCAACCATCCATCAGATGGGGGGAATAAAAACCAAACACCCCCCCCACCCCACCCCCACTGCCAATCCTCACAACAATGAAAACCTTGGACAGGAGGAAGAGCGCCGCCAGGTGGGCAGGCAGGTGTCTTGCTCGGCTGTGGCTTAGGGGGCACTTTTTTCAGTGCCATTGTAACTTTGAAGAGTCACTAAGCGAACTGTTGTTAGTCGAGGACTACCTGTACTTTATCATTTTTTTCCTTTTTGGGGGGGGGGTCATCAAGTTTTTGACATCTTGCTAGGCGACTGGTGGTACTCGGATATTGCCATATGCTAAAAGTGGTATAATGGGTGAAAAGGTTGAAAAGCCCTGCTCTTGATGACACATGGGATGTATTAATAGCAAGCCTCAGTCCATGAACGAATGTGAGTTAACTATGAGTTATGTAACTGGGAGACTTTTGGAGGAAGAACAGAAAAGATTAGAGAAGCGGGAGAAAAGAGAGATATTTACAGCTTTTGGAGAAAGAACAGAAAAGAGAAGCGGGAGAAATGAGAGCAATTTACAGCTTAGACAGAAAGGAGCCACATTCCAAGGAGAGAACAAGGTGGAAGAGAAAGTGTGTGTAATGAAACGCTGCTTTGCCCGTGGATCCATTCAACATATCCAGAGAAATTGCCCGGGAGGATGACTAAAAGATACAAATAGGAAAGAGACAGCACAATAACTGAAGAAGGGACAGAGATTTCTGTGGTGAAGGCAAAAAACAAAGACACTAAAGACATTTGGTTTTGGGACAGTGGGGAAAGTGAGCATACTGTAAATAATCCATAACTTTTTCCTAGTCTGGAACCAGCTGACCAGGAATATGTAAGCCTGGGAAATGGTAATCATTTGTACAGGGAGAAAGAACAGTATATGTACCATGTATTGGTAAGTCGACCATAAGAAAGGCTGAGCACAAAACACCATAAGAAAAGCTGAGTGCCTTTGAACTATGGTGCTGGAGAAGACTCCTGCGAGTCCCCTGGATTGCAAGGCGATCAAACCGGTCAGTCCTAGAGGAGATCAACCCTGACTGCTCTTTAGAAGGCCAGATCCTGAAGTTGAAACTCAGGTACTTTGGCTACCTAATGAGAAGGAAGGATTCACTGGAGAAGAGCCTAATGCTGGGAAAGATTGAGGGCAATAGAAGAAGGGGATGACAGAGAATGAGATGGATGGATGGAGTCCCTGAAGCAGTAGGTGTGACCTTAAATGGACTCCAGAAGATGGTAGAGGACAGGAAGGCCTGAAGGAACATTGTCCATGGGTCGCGATGGATTGGACACGACTTCACAACTAACAACAACAATTGGTAAGTCGTTTGATAAGGTTTTAGGTGTAGCAGATTTACTACAAATATCACTATTCGCTGAGTGTGTCTTGCTTAGTCAATGAAGGGCAGGAAGTAATTTTTGCAAAGGATACATGCAAGGTCATAAGGAATTAACAGGGTGTGTGCACAAGGTCTGAAACTGAATAATGTATATATTTTGAACCACACGGAAAGTGGTGGCAGTGTGCAGACTATCTTTTCTAATGAACCAATGGGTGTGCACATATATTACACAGGAGGCTGGGTCATGCAAGGTTAAAGTATTGCAGAAAATGCCTGACCTGGCTGTAGGTGTGACTGTGAATGATTGTGACAATTATTTGGATTGTGCTATATGCAAGGAGACAAAATCAAAGACATACCCTGTCAGTAAAAGATGTGATAGGAAATCTGAAAGGATTGTTCAGTTAGTACAGGCTGATTTAATTGGCTCTCTATCTCCATTAATGGGAGGGGCCAAATTTGCTTTCAGTTGCCATATCCACAGCTAAAAAGGAATTCATGGTATTATCAGAATTTTGTTCAGAGACAACATGGTTTATACAATTATTAAAAAATCTGGATAGTGAATTGAAAGGAGCTATACCAGTATTTGAAGATAACACAACGTATACACAAATGGCAACAGGGAGAGAGAATGAAAACCAGAAGCAAGCATGTTGATATAAAATAATGTCAGGGAAGAAGTGAAAGAAAATGTAACAGATTTTATTTATTTTTCATCAGAAAACAATTTAGCTGACCTCATGACAAAACCATTAAGTAGACAAAAACACAAGGATCTAATAAAACAATTTGGTTTAAATGATGTCTGGCTATAAATTGAAGGTGTGTTAGCATATTGAATTTACAGTAGTAGCTGGAATAATAGAATGTACAATAGGCCAGAATACACAGTTATAGTTGATTGGTTGGGGATGCTGACTCATGCATGAGGCAATCTACGCTCTGATTGGTTGCTATAAATATAAAGGGGGAATTTCCCCTTTCCCTCCTTTTTCTTCTGTGTGTTCTGTATACTATTTGATTTGCCTCATGATATTCCTGTATTTCTCACTATCTTGCGTTCCTCTTTCTGGATGAGGGCAAGGACTTCATAAACTTTATTGTCATTGTATGTGTATATACATACAATGAAATTTCCGTGACACCCACAGACCAGGTCCCACACACATAATCCACAAACACACTCCCACCCATCACAATTCCCCACCCCTAAAAGCACCCAAACATCCACCCAACAGACCAAGTAATACTGTCCAACAATTCAGTGATGGTGGCCCTTTAGTTCATTATTAAGTGCAATTATAGCTCTGGGATTAAAAACTATTCAGAAAACGCGTGCTCCGAGTTTTAAACGTTCTATGTCTTCTGCCAGAAGGCAACAGTCCAAAGAGATTGTAAGCAGGATGGGAAGAGTCTCTGAGAATGTTATGCAACTTCCTCAAACAGCGAGACTGTTGTAAATGTGAACGATAAATATATTTATTTATATAAAAATACTGCAATGTTTTGTTAATGTCTCCGATGTCATCTGGACAGCTGTTATGCAACTCCTTGACAATACAGATGGATCCAAAGTTACTTTTTCCAATCAGTTCATACTCAAAAGAGCCTTGTGGCGGGAGACCAAGAGGACATCCAGCTGGTATCCACCAAAGCTCCTTTTTTCTCAAAAAGCCTCTTTTTATCACTATTTTTCCAGAGCTTCCCGATCATGTTATAGTCAAGCCTTTCCTTTCCGCCCACTTGGAAAACAGAGCAGCTTCTCAGTCAGAGGGATCTTACACTCAGCTGGGTCTTCTCATTGTTTTGAGAATTTCTCATACCAGATGTTTCTTCTTACAGTCTCCACTCACAAGAACAGCCTGACCCATCCTCCTCAGCTTAGTTCTTGGGGTCTCCTCATTGTTTTGTGAGGTTCTCATACCAGATGTTTCTTCTTGGGGTCTCCACTAACAAGAACAGCCTGACCCATCCTCCTCAGCTTAGTTCTTGGGGTCTCCTCATAGTTTTGTGAGTTTTTCATACCAGATGTGTCTTCTTGGGGTCTCCACTCACAAGAACAGTCTGGGCCATCCTCCTCCGCTTAGTTCTTGGTCCTCTGCAACTTCATGAGCTGCTAATGGCATTTTGGATTCACACAAACACATTCACACTCCTCATCTGATGCTGCCTCTGATCCCTGCTCTGAGTTGCAGCTAACATGTAAAGAGGAGAAAAACACTCACTTGGTGCTGCTTTGTAGTCATTCCAACGTTTCACTGCAAGGGGGAAAAAAAAATCAATGAAAAAAAAACTCCGCCAGAGATCATCCAATCTCTCCCTCTGTAGGGAAAGAGTCCCGAGAGAGTCTGTGAAAAGTCTTCACAGGTGGTGAGTCACCATCTCTCCTACCGATTAACAGACACAGAAAAATCCACAGATTACAAACACACCACTTGATTTTCTCCAAGAGAGACCTGCTGCCTCTGAAATGGAGGAGAAATGGGAGGAGGAGAAGCAGCGAATTTTCACTGAAGTTCTTCTCTGCTGCCCTTTCACTAAAGCTTTTGAAAAAGACAGAACCATGATGCCTCTTCCCAACTCAGAAGAAGACAGGACTGTCGGAACCTCAAACTCAGCGGAGTTGAGACTGAAGCCCTGACAAGGGGCCCGAGATCTGAGATACTCCCAAAGATAGCTGGGAATATCAAATAACAGAATAACAAGAGTTAGAAGCGACCTTGGAGGTCAATTAGTCCAACTCCCTGCTCAAGCAGGAGATCCTATATCATTTTAGACCAATGGCTGTCCAGTCCCTTCTTAAAAGCCTCCAGTGATGGAGCATCCACAACCTTTGAAGGCAAGAAAACAGAAGGAAGCCCGGAAAAAGCCTCCCAAAGGGAGAGAGTTGGGAGGACTCTCCCCATCACCCAAAAAAAGATACTTACTTAGGAATGCCAAGATCCCAACAATCGCACACATCAGGAGAAGACCAATAACGCAGCCAATGATATGCCCCAGGTTGGATTCTGAAACTGAATTGGAAGAAAGAGCAGATAATTGAAGGAGAATCCCAAACAATCACCCCAATTGGGGGAGGGACCTAATGAAGCCAAAGGACTGGAAATTCCCAAAGTTAATAAGTCTAAGGGGGTCATCTTCATGTCCCTCTAATGATAGAATGAAGACACCTTGCTAACCACTGTTAGAGGACATGTCCTCATGACGCTGCTTTGTCCTCACAGCAGTCCAGCATGAAGGCAGCTGACATTTCTCTTTAACTGTTTAGCTCAGTGGTTCTCAACCTGTGGGTCGCGACCCCATTTGGGGTCGAATGACCATTTCACGGGAGTCGCCAAACAACGCAGTCCGCCATTTTTTTCCCCTTTTCCTTAGCTGTGCTACTCCCTTTTATTCTATTGGCTTTTGAAAGCCAATAGAATAGACTCTCTTGAATAGAGTCTAATTCTATTGGCTTTCAAAAGCCAATAGGAATTGTCCAGGCTGTCTCTGCCCTGCTGAGCCCGCCAAAAGTCCCATTCTGCAAACGGTGCTGCACCAGCTGAGTAGTCCTCGACTTACAACCGGTTGAGTAGCCCTCGACTTACGACTGGTTGGGGGTCGCGGCATTAAGAAGGTTGAGAACCACTGGTTTAGCTTAAAAGCAGCAGTTTGCAGTCTTGGGACTCTCAGTACTTTACAGAAACAAAAACTTCAACAACACAATCATATATATATGATTGTGAAACATGAAACAATAAAAACATTTTTGCTTTTTATAGACTTCTCCAGTATGTCATAACTCTGGACAGAATTGAGCATTTTTCCCTTTATGCTTGAATATTTGCATTTTATTGCTTAAAATAAAAAGGTTCATACAACCTGCCCTTTTTTTAAAAAAAGTATAGAGTCTCATTTTGTTTGTCTCTTGAACAAATGAAAACCAGTTTGGTCTAGTGAAGGTACCAGGCAACGAAACAGGAGGCACTGAGTTCTAATCCTGGAAGGGGACAACTCACGAGGGCCATCTGGCCGTGGCCATCTCACCAAGGCCAGCGTGCCACGGGAAAATTCATCACAGGATAATTCAACACTTTTATTTAATTATTTGAAATAATTAAAACATTGCTTTCATGGTTGTCATTCACGTTTCATTTTGTCCCTTCTTTTGCATCCTTCCATTTCATCACTTCTTCTATATTATGTAATTTTTGTCCTGTGGCAAGTTCTCCCGCAGTGAGTTAGTTGTGACAAATTGTCCTAGAGTGAGTTGGCCATGGAGAGTTGTCCTAGACCAGGGGTATTCAAACTTGGCCCTTTTATGACTTGTGGACTTCAACTCCCAGAATTCCTCAGCCAGGCATGCATGCCTGGCTGAGGAATTCTGGGAGTTGAAGTCCACAAGTCACAAAAGGGCCAAGTTTGAAGACCCCTGACCTAGACCCTCTAGATCTGCCTTAGCCCTGAAAACCAGATGGGTGACCTTGGACTAGTCCCTCTCTCTCAGCTCAACCTGCCTCACAGGGTTGTTGTTGTGGGGAAAAATAGGAGGAGGAAGGCAGTGTTGGATATGTTCCCTTCCTTGAGTTGTTTGGGAAAGTAATAAAGGCAGGATGCAAATAAATACATAAATAAAGTTAGCCTGTCCCCCTGAAGGAGAAGAAAGGATTGAATGAAGTTTTTAAGAAGAGATTGGATAAACATTTGTCTGAAATGGTATAGGGTTTCCTGCCTGAGCAGAAGGTTGGACTAGAAGACCTCCAAGGTCACTTCCAACTCCGTTATTCTCTTCTCTTCTGTTCTGATCTGTTCCGCTTCATTCCGTTCTATTCTGCCTTTGCATTAGGAGCTTTTAAGTGCCGGGAAGGCAGCGGAATATGTGAGAATACTCTTCTATCACACGTATTCTGGGGTTACGGGGGCCTATGATGTGCCTATCACATCACTCTTTTCTCACAACTAAACATGCTTAGCTCCTTCTGTTTATTTACAGATGATTTAGTATCTAGTTCCTGATCAGCCTTGTTGTTCTACTGAGGGAAGTTAGCCCCCCAGAAGGAAATATTAAAAAGGAAAATATATTTTTCCTCAAGGATTTTTTTAAAAGTATTTTTTGAAAAGCAGAAACCAAACCTGGCCCCAAATTTCTTTGCCTCAAGCAAGAGCTAGCCTCATAGAAATACAGATATAAGACCATTAGGAAGTTGGAGCCAGGGAACTCAAGACAAAGAAACTCTTAAGAGTCATTAGCCCAGCCCCAGGGAAGCAGGAGATGACTTTTGGGATATAATAGGACTAACACATTACCATCAAGTATACCATAGAGGCACACCTAAACTCAGGTCAGAATACGTGACACAGGAAATAGTTTCAAAGTTCATGCTACAGGAATAGGAAACTATTCCAAACAAAAGGCTAGAGGGGGTATAAAAACCTACTACACCATGTGCTCAGCCCTTCTCTACTTTGCTCTTTCCTGAAGAACCATCTTTCTGCAATAAACTGTAACCTTCTTCCCAAAGCAGTCGCCATATTTGCTTATTTATTCCCGGCTTGGATGAACCAGGATGAAGACTTTACTTCTAACACTACTATGAATCTTTTCCATTTGCTCCGAATCTGTATTAATGGGTGTTGCCCAAGAACTGGGCCTTCTGCTTGAGGCTGGCTCTGCTCATAGCAGAACACGGGGAGAAAATTACCCTCATTGTTTGTAAGCTACAATTTATTTGACATAGCCTAAAAATTGGTCCTTTGGAGGTCTTTGATGTTCTTACTCCGTCTTCTATTAAACCAGGTATCTCCCACCCAATATTTTTGCACTTTTGATTTTTGTTTCCTAAGTGAAGAACATTGCACTTGGACTCGTACAGATGGAAGGAAGCAACCAAAGAGGCCATCTAGTCTAACCATCTGCTTGGTACAGGATCCATGAAAGGATTCAGCCAGATGTTTTTTAGTACCTCATTTGTGATTCCCATCCTTCCTGGACACTGTTTACTTCCAAGTTTTTCTTCCGTTTCTTTCTGTTCCTCTCTACCCATTCTGAATTTCACTTCCTTTTTTTGAGAATATTAGCTAACTCAGCCAGTTTTATATGCTCTTCAGTTGGATAACTATTTGCTCTATCAATTCCTCCAGGTCACTAAAGGCAATATGGAAGAACAGAGGACAACGGGCTGTTTCTTATGGCCCCCATTGGATATATTCATCCTGATGAGGAACCATCAACCTGCAGGGAGATTTTTGAGCCAGCTCTGCATCCTCCTTCATTGTCCGGCTGTCCGGCCTCCTTTTATTAGTTGAAGAGGCCTTTGACTGCCTCCAGATGTTTTTATGAGGCAAAATTTACCATACAAAATTAGCCCCATGAAACATTCAGATGATCCTGTCATCTTTTAGAGATCCTTTGATCTGTTTTCTATCTCATTCAGATCAACCATAAAGAAAAATCTGCTGATCTAAATGTTTCACTGTAACATTGGGGGGGGCACATCAATATAGTGGGATCTATGTTGACCCCTCCCCTTATTTCTGGAGGGAGGTGAGGAGTTATGGTCCATCCTGAAATGTCAGAAAATGGACTTTTTGTGCTTCCAGAATTTCAGGATGAAAAAAATGGAACGTAATGATATCCAACTTCTGGAGGGCCTCTCAAATGGCCAAAACTCCGAGATAGGATAGCAAACAAATGTAAATAAATGAATCAATAAATATTGGGTGGGTACTTCAAGGGGGAAGGTTTGAGGAGAACTTCAAATTTCTCTTTAATGGAACTCAGGACTCCCAATGAATAGCAGCCATGGGGGTTGTGTGAATTGATACTTAGTAAAGGGATATTTTATTGTACCTTAAACATCAGCATAGAAACAAAATTTGAACATTTTTAGTACCATGGTGACCATTATCAATCAAAGATTGATATTCGGTGCTGTTCTCTCCACTACCCCCGCTATATACTCCCCCTGCCCAAATTTCTTTGGTCCCCCAAAGAGTGAGATGCAGTTCACTAAAGGTATGTACATTTTTTTTTTATTTAGAAGATTTGTATTGCTGCCTGCTCACACATGGCGACTCAAGGCAGCTTACATAAATGAAAAACACCCTATAAAAAACTAAAATAAGAGGAAGTATAAAATAATATAATCCCCACCCCTCTCCCCAGTGACAACACACATTCATACTAGCCATTTAACGGGCTCCATCCCATTAAACCAGATCTTCAGCGCCTTCCGGAAGAGTGTTAGAGTGGGGGGCAAGTCTAATCTCTGAGGGAACGATGTTCCAAAGAGAGGGAGCCACCACAGAGGAGGCCCTTCTTTTGGGTCCCACCAGATGCATCTCCTTAGGGGACGGGACCACCAACATTCCTTGCCTCCCCACTCTAATGGGTCGGGTAGATGTGACTGTCAAAGACGGTCCTTCAGATAACCTGGTCCCAAGCCATGAAAGGCTTTAAAGGTGACAACTAGCACCTTGAATTGCACTCGGAAGCAAATCGGCAACCAATGCAGCTCCCACGGGAGATGTGTCACATGTGCACACCGAGGTCTGCACAAAACCATGTGGACGGCTGCATTTTATACCAACTGGAGCTTCTGGATACTCTTCAGGAGCAGCCTGAATTTGTCCTTCGAGAATATGTGCTGCCACCTCCAAAGTTGGTCTTTATCCCTCTCCAGCCAGTCTGGGAGAAGCTGTGTGTTCTTCAGGCAGAACCAATCTATGGAAACTTCATCCTCAGTCTGTTCCCCATATCAGGTAATACAACAGGGGTGGCTGGACTCACTTGTCCCAGCAACGGTCCTTCAACCACACAGGAAAGCTGATAACATTCCAGACTCCAATCAAGTTCCTTCCTCAAGCCGACAGCAAGGCTTTCATGGAGACCACCTCTGAGATTACATCCACCCCAACATTCTTTCTTCTGGAGGTCAGATTCTCAATTGGCTCCTTCACTGGCTCCCTCTGTGGTTTCTTGACTAGGCCGAACTTCATGGTTTGGGCGGCTTTGTACAAGTACGTCTGTAGTGACCTGCAACCCACACAGTTATAACAGATCACGTGCCTCGGCGGCTTCTCAGCTGAGGTGGAAAAGCCTATTTCCCCATTAGCCAGCCCAGCCAGGCCTCCATTCAAGGGTGAACCACCTCTTGCCATCCACAAGGCCATCGTCTCCATTAGATGTGATATTTGGTCTTCCATAGCAGTGAGCCGGGCATAGACATCTCCAATTCTCCTCACTCCGATGCCTGGGGACCAGTCTGGTGGCGAATCAGCTGTGGCCTTTTCTGTTGCCCTAACTTTCCTCATGAGCTCATGATACCCCCAGGTGTTCCTCCGGGCCAGGGACTTTAGCGGATTCAGTCTGGGCCTGAGAATAAAGCACCCTCCCCAAAAGCTGCTTCTTTCTGGCCCGTTCCACTTCAGCTGGCTCCATTCCCTTCCTCTCCACAATTTGACATAGCGACCTGTTCAAGTGTCTGATGTACTCTGATTGCCTTTCACTTCTCTTCTGATACCTTTGCTCAAACCAAAGCAGCAGACTAGAAACTGTTTCTGCAGGCCCGAACTCATCCTGCAGTAAACAGAGATAATCATGCAGCGTGAAATGCCTTTGGCTGAATGTTAAGCTTCTAATGGCTTCTGCAGCAGGACCCTTCAGACTCTCTCTGACTCTCTGCTTCTTTTGGGTGTCTGATACATCCCTTTCTTCACCCATTCCATCCAGGCTTTGTATTCTTCTTTCCCTCTGGCACTGGTGGTATCCCCCAAAAGATACGCAGTTTCTTGTACCCAGACTCTGCACAGTGGCTGCCAGTCTGGGTTTGGATGGGTAAGAGGTTTCCCATAGCCTGGGCAGAACCTGCCCCTGCTGCCCCTATGGTAACCAAGGTGCGTGTCTCCTCCTGGGTGCTCAATGTCTTCGCTAAAGGCAGGGCCCCTGGGGACGGGTGTATCATCATTGTCCTGATGTCCTCAATCAATTGAAAGCTTTCAACTCCAAAGCACTCCGGGTTCCACTCCAATAGTACATAAGAGTGGGAAGAGTACCTGTCCCTCTTTGTGTCTACCAGGTATATCCTCTGATCTGGGGCACGGGCCCTCACTGCCTGTAGAATGCACCCTTCTGGCCAAGTATCTCCAAAGATGTCAATTGCTTCACTCCCATTATTCTGATCCTCACACCACTTAGTGAGGGTGGTGGAGTCCATTTTGCTCAATTGGCTCATGTCCCTGGATGGGACCACCCCCCTGCGGAAAAAAGCTAGAAGGAGATCCCAGATAAGCCCCTCCCCTTGTAGCACTACCCCTAAAAGAGCCGCAAAAGTCTTGCTCCTTCTGTCCCTTTCTCCCAGGTAACTTGCTTTTCCACTCTCAGTCACCGATCTACCATCTCAGGGTCTCTCGCTCTGATGGCTCACTCAGCCACTTCCACTCACTCAGCACCTCCGCTGTCCTCCAGTGGGTCAACTTGCCTCTGCTTCCTTCGGGTGTGTCTGGCGTACTCTCTGGACACTGGATCGCTCTCTCGCCTGGATCGGCTCTCTTCTGCAGTCTCCTGGTACATCTGGCACCCGCTCTGGTCACTGGATCGCTCTATCACCCCTTCTCTCTGCGTCGGCTTCGCGCTCTCTCTCTCTGGATCAGCTTCGTTCTTGTTCTCCCTCTCTCCCTCTCCCTCTCTGACTTTTATCGCCGCCCACACAGTCCCACCAATCAGAGATCAGGAGGCAAGGTGGTGACAGGGCAAATTGATCAATGCTTCCTCCTCTCTCTCTGCTCTCCCCAGCTCCGCCTCCTCCTCCACCTCTTCCATTTGCTTTTGCCTCCGTCTCCACTGTCTCTTTTCCCCCTCATGCTGCTTCTCTCCTTTCTTTAGTCTTTCTTTCTCTCCCCCCTTCTTCTCCTCTTTGTTCGCTCCTTCACCTCACAAGCCTCCTCTCTTTATAACCCCCTTTCCCTGGGCTGCCCCTTCCCCCCTAATTTCCGCCGGGTCTCCTATACAGCAGTCATCCACTGGATGAGTTCCACCCCTGCAACCATCCCGAGCACCCAGGTCACTTGGAGCCGCCTCTGAGGATGTCCCCAGCAGTTGCTGCGGAGCCCAGGCCTCCAACTGAGCCCCGGGGTGCCGGCAACCAAACTGCTCAGCCGTCCCATCGCTGGAGCGCCGTGGCGATTGGGCCTGCTGTCCAGCTGACTGGCGATTTGCACCAATCAGCTGTGTGCTTGCCGTCGCTTTCCAGCCTCCAGGATGCCCCCCTAGAGCCTGGCACATCCGTGGGGTGCCGCGCAGCAATTAGGAGCCCCAGGATGCCGATGGCTGCACCACTCAGCTGCAGCCTTGGGACAGCCATGCTGCTCAGCTGGCTGTGGTGATTGGCGTGATCGCATGGTCAGCACTGCTCTCCCCCACGACACTGGCATTTGGCAAAACCGCACCCCTCTTGATTTTTGTACTTTCGGAATTCTCTAAGCAAGAGAAAATGCTTCTAGTGCTCAGCATAATTGCTGCTTCTCTGCTGGAGGCAGGAAACAGGAGAGAGACAGAAGCTAAGAAAGGATCGATGGGCATTTCATCAGAATCAACCAACTCTTAGGATGGGATTCTGTGGCTTCCTTTAAGTCAGCAGCCCCCAATCTTTTTGATAGGAAGGACTAGCTTTGGGGGAAACAACTTTTTCACAAATCAGTGGCAGTGGTGGGGGAATGGTTTTGGGCATTACCTGGTTGTGTGCGTGCAGGGATGAAACTTCGCTCGCTTATGTGGCCCGGTTAATAACTGCCACAGACCTGTACCCGTCCATGGACCGGGGGTGGGGGGGGGTAGGGGAACCCTGCTTTAAATCACCTGAAGCCAATTGTACGGACTCTTCCCCGCAGCTCCACCAACCTCAAAACAGAAAATTCCAGTTGTTTAAAACTCAAGTATGATCACATCTGAACACAACTGGGGTCAGATTTCTCTCCCAGCATTCTCCAGCCTGCCAAAGAGCCCGGCTTTTCCATCCCTGCAGCCTCTCACCCTTTAGAGTCATTTCCAGAGGCTCCTGCAGTCCATCATGCTCCACGTGACACCGATAGCGGCCCCTGTCTTTGGGATCGATCTGGATGCTGAGCCAATAGTGGTAGGTCCCATCCGCGTTGGGGGCTACGGACCCACGGAAGGTGTCTTCCAGCCAGACCTCCCCGTCCCTCGTCCAGGAGGCATCGATCTCCCTGGGGTAGAAGCCGTGGATTCGGCAGACGTGCGTCTCCATGCTATCATCGGCCTCCATCTTGCTGCTCATCGTCACCACCGGGGGCTCTGCAGAAATGGCATCGCTGGGATTAACACTGAATTTCCATATCAGCTGAATACATTTAGGTTTGATTTGTGTCTTTTTCCAGGAACTGCCGAACCAGTGTACACAATTTTGGCAATGAAAAAAACAAACAAAAACAAAAACAGAGCTGCTTGAAGTATTTGCTCCATCACCTCTCAAGGCATCTTTTTGCCTTTGGAACTGAAGTGCTACACAACGCTCCCCTGCGATTTAGGAAAAGAGGTTTAACACTGATTGAAAAATCTTTTCTAAAAGTTGCCTAGAAGAGGGATTGTGAGAGATTGGGGCGTGTCTGGGAAAGGAAAGAGAGGGCAAGTGAGTGACTTAGCAGATTTTGTTTGTAACTAGGTCTGCAAGCCAAAGGTGCTTTTTTCCAAGAAGCAACTGGACTTTGTTTTTCACTGAAGATGCTTCCCTTCTCATCCAAGAAGCTTCTTCAGCTCTGACTGGATGGTGGGGAAGGGAAGGATTTAGGCTCCGCAGCCATTTGCACTACAGGTAGTCCTCAAGCTACGAATGAAATGGAGCCTGCCTATTCCATTCGTAACTCGAGGACTTGTAGGAGTGAATCTCATACCTTGAACGAGATCGCTCCCACCTTTCGCTCACTCAAATGCACAGTTGGTTAACTACACATGCAGTATCTTAGGGTGGGGAAGGCCATGGGGGGACCTAGTGATAAAACAGGCCCCCAAGGCCTCCTGGACCCACTAAGGTACCTCATGTTTCCCCAGCCCTTCCTGCCATGCCAGACTCACCTTGAAAAAATGTCTCCTTTCTGCCACGGTTTCTGGCTTTGAGGGAGAGGAGACTCAATGGAAGCTCCGGGGTGTCGTAATATCGTGCGAGTTCAGGCACCTATCCTCTTTTGCAGAGAATGGTGCCTGAACTCTTGTGAAATCATGGACAGAGATGTTGGGGAGCCTGGAAGCTGTCTGTATGCAAATGGGGGTGCTTGGAAACAAAGTGATTCGCTTCATTTCCAAGCACCTCATTTGCAAACAGACAGAGCTTCCAGTCTTCCCAAGGTCTCCATCCAGGTAAAAAGTGTTTGAGCTCCAATGGGACGCTTGGATATGGAGCGATTTGCTCCATTTCTAAACATCCCATAGACATTCAAACACTTTTTTGCCCAGATGGAGACTAGAAGCTTCCGTCGGTGTACAGACGGGTGCTTGGAAGTGAAGCGATTTGCTCTGTTTCCAAACACCCCATTTGCACGCATCCAGTCTCCCCAAGGTGAAAAGTGTTCCAGCGGTGGAGGAAAGGAGTTGGAGGGGAACAGGAAACAGGCACAGTGAACACTTTTCGTGCTGAAAAGGAGAGTTTCTGGGGTCCGTGATCTCACGAGAGTTCAGGCACCCATTCTTTGCAAAAGAAGAGGGGTGCCTGAACCTGCACGATATTATGGCAGCCGAGAGCTTCCATCGACTCTCCTATATTTCAAAGGCAAAGAAACTGTGGCAGAGAGGAGTCAGGTTTTTGTAAGGTGAGTCCGGTGTGGCAGGATGGGAGAGGGAAGCAGTTGTGGGGAGTGGAGGGGGGGAAATAGGGTAAATGTTGCAGAGCCTCTGCAGTTGTTCGTAAGGGCAAACAACTGCTGTGGGACTTGCAAATTTTGGGACTTGCTCGTAAACACTAGGGAGCGCTTATTGTGTAACTTCGAACAAGCGCTCATAACTCGCGGATTAGCTGTATTCAGGTGACTCTGACAACACAGATAAACCTCCAAGTGGCCTCAACGACTCCTTAGAATGCAAATCACCTGCTTTCTGCAAGGAATACGTATACATCCTTCCATTCCCCACCATCTAATCAGAGCTGAAGAAGCTTCTTGGATGAGAAGCGAAATGTCTCCAAAGGAAAACCAGAAAATCCAATTGCCTTTTTTTTAAAAAAAAAAAAAAAAGTATCTTACGGACATCGTGACCTGGATGACTGAGGATCTCTATAGACGTTTAGGCCTGCAACCAATTTATTCAGCAACATTTTTACTAATCACAAAAAAAGATAGAACTGAAAGAATGCTTATCAGAAGTGCAAATGACACAAAACGGACTATAAAGGGGGTGCCAGCCATCCCAGGTAGACCAGACATAAAACAGGCCAGATGAGCTACTATTTTATTTATACTGGTTTAAGTGAATCTTGCATGTCTGAAAATACTAATTTCCCATTGAATGCATCTTCGGCTATACACCTTACTGAGATCCGGTGTAACTTTTTAACAAGCAGCCACCAAGCTTTATATTGCTTAGGACAGCGGTCCCCAACTTTCTGGCTTGGTGTCCCAGTGGGAGGGGGAAGAGGGAATGGTTTGGAGAGAGTGTCTGGCATGTGCAGAAGCACACACAACTCCATTTGCACAAGCAGCAGAGGGGAGTGCCCACAGCTCCCGCAAATGGGAATTCGCGCAGAAGTGTGAGTGCCTGCTGCTTGCACAAGTGGAGCTTCACACACTGGCGCAAGGGCCAGCCTCCCATGCAAATGGGGATTTGCGCAGAAGTGCGAGCGCCTGCCGCTCGCACAAGTGGAGCTTCACGCAGGAGTGTGAGTGGCTGCCACTCATGCAAGTAGAGCTGTGCGCACACACGCTCACGCGGCATGTTTCCAAACGGGTCACAGCCCAATAGTGGGCCCGGGTCCGGCAACTGGGACCCCTGGCTTAGGGCAACGCTTCTCAAGCTTGGCCACTTAAAGTCGTGTGCCTGGGGAATTCTGGGATTTGATGTCCACACATCTTCAGATTGCCAAGGCTGAGAAACAGAAACACCTCATCTACTATAAATCCAGCACTGTATTTCCCCTCCCCTGGGATACGCACCTGCCTTCAGCAGCATCTCCTTCCTCCTATACGACAGGTACTTCTCCAGCCACTCAATGCATTCCTTCTCCAGGTAGACTTTATTTCTCCGGGACCACGGCACATTAACATCCCAATTCCTCTTGGTGATCTGGGCCTGAGGCTCAGAAGCCACCCAGCTCAGTGTCTCTTTGTCGAAGGTGAGGAAGGTCCTCCCGTCGTAGCCGTACTGTGAATAACCATCTTTGCTCCCGTTTCCTGTGAACCCACAGCCATAAGTGACCTGCCAAGTGTGAAACCCTGAGGGGGAAAAAAGTCACAAAGGGGATGAAGAAGGGCCCGAGTAGCCCCTCCCCACAAAAGAGGTTGTCCACCAAAGGTAGACAACCACAACTTCAGGAAATAAGCGATTCCCTTGCTTAATAGTTCTTGACAGTCAAGATTTTCCACCCTCTGAGACTGGATGGCTTTCTGTAAAGCTTCGACACGTTAGACCTTGTCCTACCTTCACGCACTATGGAGAATAAATCTACATCTTCTTAATTTTATTTATTTATTAATCTGGAGTCAATCCATTTATTATTATTAATCCATTTATTATTATTAATCAGAACAGAGCTGGAAGGGACCTTGGAGATCTTCCAGTCCAGCCCCCTGCTCAAGCAGGAGACCTATACCCTTTCAGACAAGTGACTGTCCAGTCTCTTCTTAAAAACCTCCAGCGATGGAGCGCCCACGATTTCTGGAGGCAAGCTGTTCCACTGGTTAATTGTCCTCCCTGTTAGGAAGTTTCTCCTTAATTCTAGATTGCTTCTCTCCTTGATTAGTTTCCTCCGTTGTTTCTTGTCCTGCCTTCTGGTGCTTTGGAAAATAAGTCGACCCCCTCTTCTTTGTGGCAGCCCTTCAAATATTGTAAGACTGCTATCATGCCCCCCCCCCCACTCATTCTTTTCTCTAGACTAGCCAAACCTAGTTCCCGCAATCGTTCTTGATGAACGAGGTGGGCAGTAAGAAATGTGAAATATAAATAAATGAATAAATGAAGCATTCATTCACTCATTCATTTACACAACTGCCCCTCGCACACAAAACAACCCTTGGGGCAATGTACAGCAATCAATCAAACATATAGACCAGGATTCTCCAAACCTGGCCACTCCCAGAATTGAAGCATGACTTGCTGAAGAATTCTGGCCATTGAAGTCCACAAGTCTTAAAGTTGCCAAGTTTGGAGACTCCTGATATAGATCATAATCATTATAAAAATACAAAAAAGGTTATGATTAAAAATGAAAAAAAAAACCTATTAAAAAATTAAAACACGTAAACTGCACAGAGAAAATAAAAAAAAAAATCAAGCACAGTGGAGCCATTTCTTCCCTAGGACTGCCCTCAAAAAATGGTCACCTCCGTACAACCGTTTATCCAGAAATACACTGAGCCACCAGATGTTGCTATTGGACTTAAAAGACATAAAGGAGAGGGAGTGAGAATTACCGGACCAAAAATTCTTGTGGGCAGCAAGACCAGCATCTCCCTTTCTTTGTGGGTGGGGGGCTGCCCTCATTCTTCCTCCCCTACATCCCACATGCCCTCCAATATGCAAGAGATCGAAGGAGGAGGGATCGCTACTCACTTCCTTCTTCTAAGGCAGGGTGGGCAACTATGGTCCCTTTACAACCTGTTGTCATGGCCCCATTGGAGCCTGGTTCAGAGGAGGAGGAGGAGGAGGTGGAACTGGGACTATCTGACAGGGGTAGCATGTCTCCCCTAGCATGTTTGGATAGGCCAGAGGCTAGGACAGTGGTGGTGAACCTATGGCACGCATGCCAGAGGCAGCACTCAGAGCCCTCTCTGTAGGCATGCGCGCCACCACTGCCAGCAGCTTGCGCAGGTCCATTAGGCCACTGCTGCCACCCAGAGCAGCAGCCCCACCCAGCGCAAAGGAGGCGAAGCGGCCAGCTAGCAAGCTGAAGTAGAGGTGGTGGAGCATGCCCATACTGGATCTCTGTCAGATCCATGGCCCCCCCAGTCCTAGCTAGGATTGCGTGCCTCCCATCTATGCAGGGCCTCCTGCCCACCGCCCCCGGATCTCCCCCAACCCTGCCCGGCCCCCACAGGCGTCCCCCCATAAACAACATCGGGGTGGCCATGCCCACCCCAGCCACACCCACCCAGTCTGCCGTGACAACCGCAGCCATGCCCACCCAGTGGGCCACACTCACCCAGTGGGCCGCACCCCCATGCCCGCCCTGAGGGCACCACAATGCTGATGCGGTCCTGGCACTTTGCGACAAATAAGTGGGTTTTGGGTGGGTGGTTTGGGCACTCGGTCTCTAAAAGGTTCGCCATCGCTGGGCTAGGATGATGCTGCCGTGGCCCCCTCAGACTTTAGGGGAGGTGGTCAACCAGACAGCCTGCCTGCACAGATACAGGGGAGGATCAGCTTCTGACAGGCAGTGGGCTGATAGGCAGCCATCCCCTCTGATGAGGAACAGCTGCCTCCCCCGCTTGATCCAAGGGCACAGAGAGCAGAGCATAGGCAAGCTCAGAGAAGGGCTGCAAGGCTACTCGGGAGGTCGCCCCACCCCTCCTCACAAGGAACCCCTGGAGTGGACTGACTTAAGGAGAAGCCGTGGGAAGTTAAGTCTTTACCTGGAATAATTGTTTGCTTTGGCTTACACTCCCCCCGGCTTTGACTCGTGTCCGTTGCTGTTTGCCTTGCCTCGCTTGGAAGATGGCTCTTTGCATTTTCTCTTGGACCTCGCCCTTCTCTTGTGGCCTGCGTTTGGCCTTTGCTTCATTAGGGCTTCTTTTCTGGGGTCCGTTTCGTATCCTGAGGACTGTCCTGGTCTTGTGCCTGGACCCTGCCTGGTGGATTGGATTCGGAATCCTGGACCTTGTCCTATGAGCCTGCTCCTACTCTGTGGGCTTTCTTTGTACCATAGGGGCTGTTGTATGGGGGATTGAGGATGGTGGCCTTCAGGGTAGTAGGGGGTGGAGCCTTACCAGTTGTTGAAGGGCCATTTGCTGGAACATTAGTTGAAATAAAGGACTCTAGAGCAGACATGTCAAACTCGCGATGTCACGTGACGTCGCACGACATATCAGAACTTTTCCCCCATTGTCGGCAATGGGGTGGGAGCGGTTTTGTCGTGATGCGTCTGGCCCGCGGGCCGGCAGTTTGACACCCCTGCTCTAGAGGCCTGCCTTGCCTTAACCGCCTGGGTCATAACACCTGTGGACTTCAACTCCCAGGATACCTGAGTCACTCAGAATTCTGGGAGTTGAAGTCCACAAGTCATAAAGAGGCCATAGTTGTCCACCACCCCCGTTCTATTCTAATTGAAGGAGAAAAACCCGAGTGACGAATTCGGGTTTTGCAGACCGATTATTTCTTCACACACGATTTATCAACCCTTATAAGCCAGAGGCCCCAATGGCCGATTCTACCTTTGCTCACCTTCTTTCTGCTTGTAGCGGTTTTGAACATTCCTCAGATCTTCTTGGAGCACCCGCTGAGTGGCCCGCAAGATTCTGCTTCCGTCCTTCCAGTAGTTGGCATCCTCCTTCTCCACCTCCTCCATCCAGGACACCTTCGGCACCTTCTTCTTTTTCACACTGTCATAGTAAGTGATGACCTGGCCATCCAGATAGCCCACCGTGAAGAACTGGGGCAGTCCATCACTGGGATCGGATACCACCACGTACTGATACTGCAGAGAGTGCCCGACAGAGCCTAATAAGGGAGATGAGAAATGTGACCTTCAGCTCTGGACATTCCTCCAAGCTTCACACAGGGGCCCTCAAACCAGAGGACTGCCATCTTTATGCTTCGAATGGAGAGCTTTACAATTCTATCTCTAAATCTGAGAAATGCAGATTTTGGTTAACGGTAAAGCCAAGCTAAGCCGTCTAGTCAGAGAGAGGTTCTGGGTGCTCTGGTTTGAGCTGGGTTGTTTTTCTGCAGATGTTTCGTTAGCCAAACTAGGTGAACCTCATTGAGCCATGAGGGTGCAGTGGTTAGAGTGCAGTATTGCAGGCAAACTCTGCCCACAGCCCCGGATTTGATCCTGATGGGGCTCAAAGTTGACTCAGCCTTCCATTCTTCCAAGGTTGGTAAAATGAGGACACAGATTGTTGGAGGGCAATATGCTGACATTGTAAACTGCCCACAGACTGTTGTACAGTGCTATGCAGCAGCATATGAAGCCTAAATGCTATTGCTATAGATATCATCATTAGTGGCATTTCCCACCCGTAAGATTAGCCAAAATGGGTTCAAATATTTCACCCCTATGCTGGAAATGTAAAACAGCATTAGGTTCATACTACCATATAATAATAATAGTAGTAGTAAAGTTGGAAGGGACCTTGGAGGTCATCTAGTCCAACCCCCTGCTCAGGCAGGAAACCCTACACCATTTCGGACAAATGGCTGTCCAGTCTCTTCTTAAAAACTTCCAGTGTTGGAGCATTTACCGCTTCTGGAGGCAGGTTGTTCCACTGATTAATTGTTCTCACTGTCAGGAAGTTTCTCCTTAGTTCTAGGTTGCTTCTCTCCTTGATTAGTTTCCACCCGTTGCTTCTTGTCCTGCCTTCAGGCGCTTTGGAGAATAGCTTGACTCGCTCTTCTTTATGGCAGCCCCTGAGATATTGGAATACTGCTATCATGTCCCCCCTTGTCCTTCTCTTGGTGAGAATGCCCAAAGATCTGTGAGTATTGGAACAGGACATGAAACTGGTTGAGGGATATATTAACACTGGACTTAGAGTTAAAACTTGAACTCTTCTTGTTGGGAATAACGACAGAAAAATACGACAAGGGAACAATATACCTGCTGCTACACATCCTGACTGCAGCTAGGCTTGCTTTTGCGCAAAAATAGAAGAGCAAGGACATTCCCACAGAGGAAGAGTTAATACATAAAATATGAGCATGTGCGGAAATGGACAGGCTCACAATGATATTAAAAGATAAATGTGGATCAGTTTATTATGAAACCTGGGATAAATTTTATCACTGGAGGAATTTGAAGAGGACAGTCAGGATTAAAGATGTTAAGATAGAAATAGATGTTATTTTAGAACAAGTATTGTATATAAAACTTAGATGTATATGTAGAGTGAAGAATTGATTGTAAAAAGTGGAATAATCTGATAAGAATGTATATACTGGAATGTCACGTCAAATCCAATGTTTGTTTGTTTTTAATTGTATTATAAATAAAATTTGTAAAAAAAAGATATCATTATTAGAATTAGAATTATTAGAATTAGAATTAAAAATTCCTGTAGTCCTGCAAAGAAATTGCACTCCCGGTGTGTGAAGATTCTTTGTTTTCCCAAGGATTGGATACACCACAGCATAGAAGAGCACTGTATACAATGCTTTATCCCAGAACCCACCTTTCCCTAGAGCAGTGGTTCTCAACCTTTTTAATGCTGCGACCCCCAACCGGTCGTAAGTTGAGGACTACTCAACGGTCGTAAGTCGAGGACTACTCAACTGGTACAGCACCGTTTGCGGAATGGGACTTTTGGCGGGCTCAGCAGGGCAGAGTCAGCCTGGACAATTCCTATTGGCTTTTGAAAGCCAACAGAATTAGACTCTATTCAAGAGAGTCTATTCTATTGGCTTTCAAAAGCCAATAGAATAAAAGGGAGTAGCACAGGAAAAGGGGGGGGGAAATGGCGGGCTGCGTTGTTTGGCGACCCCCCGTGAAATGGTCGTTCGACCCCAAATGGGGTCCCGACCCACAGGTTGAGAACCACTGCCCTAGAGCTTCGAACGGGTGTTTAGTGACTGTTTGAAATTATCCTCAAAAATGGTGCTTTATGGCTGTAAAGCACTTCTGGCCAATGTAAAATGTTATGCTGTAGAATAAAATAACAGAGTTGGACAGGACCTTGGAGGTCATCTAGTCCGACCCCCTGCTCAGGCAGGAAACCCTATACTATTTCAGACAAATGGCTGTCCAGTCTCTTCTTAAAAACTTCCAGTGTTGGAGCATTCACAACTTCTGGAGGCAGGTTGTTCCACTGACTAATTGTTCTCACTGTCAGGAAGTTTCTCCTTAGTTCTAGGTTGCTTCTCTCCTTGATTAGTTTCCATCCGTTGCTTCTTGTCCTGCCTTCAGGCGCTTTGGAGAAGAGCTTGACTCCCTCCTCTTTGGGGCAGCCCCTGAGATATTGAAACACTGCTATCATGTCACCCCTTATCCTTCTCTTCATTAGACTAGACATCCCCAATTCCAGCAACCGTTCCTTATATGTTTTAGCCTCCAATCCCCTGATCATCTTTGTTGCTCTTCTCTGCACTCTTTCTAGAGTCTCAACATCTTTTTTTATAATGGATGCAGTATTCTAGGTATGGCCTTACTAAAGCTTTATAAAGAGAGGTTGACCGTCTCTTCTCTGTGACAGTCCCTCATATGTTAGAAGACAGCTATCAATTTAGTCCTTCTCTTCATTAGACTAGACCAGGGGTAGGCAACCTTTCTCTTTTATGACTCGTGGACTTCAATTCCCAGAATTCCTGAGCCAGCCATGCTGAGGGGAAAGGGAGAGGTTTCCAAGCTGAGCCATGCTGGCTCAGGAATTCTGGGAGTTGAAGTCCACGAATCATAAAAGAGTCCAGGTTACCTATCTCTGGACTAGACATACCCACAACTGCTCATCATAGAGTTTAACTGTTCACTATAGAGTGCAATAAAACAGTGGGAAAAATCAAATGCAGTCTTTGTGTATGTTCTTTTAAGAAAAACCCTCAGGATGTCCATTTGGGGGAAAGAATGAGTTGAATCTTGAGGAAGTGGGGTGCACAATTCCAAGCTGTGACAGCAAAACTAGAGATCCCCTTTCCCTCCACAAGGTGGCAGCACCTGAATGAGTTGTCAATTCTATACACTAAGCAGGGTTAAAAGTTCTTCTCAAACATGACATCTTTAAGACACGTGGAACAAGATCAAAAGATGCAGCCAGCCGAAAAGGAAGAGAAGCAATTGCAGAAAAAGAAAAGAAGTATCAAAAGTGATCAACAACTGGCTCACATGAAAGAATGAAAGAAAGAAAGAAAGAAAGAAAGAAAGAAAGAAAGAAAGAAAGAAAGAAAGAGAAAGAATGAGAAAGAGAAAGAAAGAGAAAGAAAGAAAGAAAAAGAGAAAGAAATAGAGAAGGAAGGAAGGAAGGAAGGAAAGAAAGAAAGAAGAGAGAAAGAGAGAAAGAAAGAGAAAGAATGAGAGAGAGAAAGAGAAAGAAAGAAAGAGAAAAAGAGAAAGAAATAGAGAAGGAAGGAAAGAAAAAAAGAAAGAAAAAAGAAAAAATGAAAGAGAAAGAAAAAGATAGAAAGATAGAAAGAGAAAGAATGAGAGAGAGAGAGAGAGAAAGAATGAGAGAGAAAGAAAGAAAGAGAAAAAGAGAGAAGGAAAGAAAGAAAGAAAGAAAGAAAGAAAGAAAGAAAGAAAGAAAGAAAAAGAGAAAGAAAAAAGAGAAAGAGGGAAAAAAGATAGAGAAAGAGAAATAGAAAAAGAAAAAGAGAAAGAGAAAAGAGAGAGAGAAAGAAAGAAAGAAAGAAAGAAAGAAAGAAAGAAAGAAAGAAAGAAAGAAAGAAAGAAAGAAAATCATTTTATGATGTAGAAAAGATGTTGAGAAGATGCAGAGAAGAGCAGCAAAGATGATCAGGGGACTGGAGGCTAAAACATACAAAGACGGGTTGCAGGAATTGGGTATGTGTAATCTAATGAAGAGAAGGACGAGGGGGGACATGATAGCAGTGTTCCAATATCTCAGGGGCTGCCCCAAGGAAGAAGGAGTCAGTCTATTCTCCAAAGCACCTGACTAATCAAGGAGAGGCTATATTCTGTGTATCAGTCTTGTCATGGAGATGTGGTTGCTAAGAGTCAACAAGAAATTTGATCACACAAAATCAATCAACCAGTTAACTAGTCTTGAAGAAATCCAGCAGCAGCAGCAGCAGCAGACAGCAGGACAAGAAGCAACGGATGGAAACCAATCCAGGAGAGAAGCAACCTAGAACTAAGGAGAAACTTCCTGGCAGTGAGAACAACTAACCAGTGGAACCACCTGCCTCCAGAAGCAGTGAATGCTCCAACACTGGAAGTTTTCAAAAAGAGACTGGACAGCCGTTTGTCTGACACTGCTTCACCCTCTGCCTCTCCCCCCCACCCCTGCAAAGTCTTGCTTGGGTAAATACCAAATGCGCAATAAGACCAAAGGTTCTAACTTTTCCTGGATATCTTAATTATCAGAGACTGTCCCGAGTCAGAACCCAGACAGATCCAGCATGGGAGAAGCAGCATCTCACGAGGCAAAACAATGGTTTATTCCAGAATCCAACGCTGGGGATATTCGCAGACAGAACAGCAGGATCAAATCCAAGGACGACAGTCCTGAAGGATTCTTCTTTAGGAGGCCTATTCAAGGAGACTTTCCCTATGGCAGTTGTTTCTCAACCTTGACCATTTTAAGGCATGTGGACTTCAACTCCCAGAATTCCACAGCCAGCAATGCTGGCTGTGGAATTCTGGGAGTTGAAGTCCACATGCCTTAAAATGGTCAAAGTTGAGAAACACTGCCCTATGGGGGTCAGGCACGCTGGCTGAGGAATTCTGAGAGCTGAAGTCCACAAGCCATACAAGGGCCGAGTTGCAAAACCCCCTGCTGTGGGTTCTTCACCCGCATTCACACGGCAAGCTTAACCCGCTCGCGCAATAAGAACACGCGCGCGCGTGGGGGGGGGGAAGGGGAAGGAGATTTCCTGAATAAATTCCGGGCCAGCAAAACAAGGGTCTGCAAAGCCCCGGGGCACCCCAGAAAACGCTTACCGGAGGAGTCCCCCAACAGGAGGGCCGCCAGCAGACACAGGGTCATCCAGCAGAGCCCCATCGCGTTCCCACGCTCGACTTTCTCCTAGTAGTCGAAGCAGTCTGGAAAGAGAAACGGGGTTGGGGAAGAAAGCTGGGTTCTTAAAAGCCCGGCGTTGCTCCGCCCCTGTGGGGTAATTCGAATCATGCACTGTCGGTTAAACTGCGGGAAACCGAGAGTGGATCGCCTGGGAAAAGCGCTTCTCGGAAATCAGCTGTGTGGCGGGAAAATGGGGGGGGGGGTTGCCAAAAGGAAGAAACGGGGGGAACCCGAAGGGCTTGCAAAGTTGGAAAGGGACGGGGGGGGAAGGGGCGAGAGGGAAAACCGTAAGGATGCAAAGGAAGTAATGGGGGGGAGGGGCAGAAGCAAAAATGTGGGGGAGGCTGTCTGGGGGGGGGGGGGACAGGATAGCAGTCTTCCAGTATCTCAGGGGCTGCCACAAAAAAAGAGGGAGTCAAGCTCTTCTCCAAGGCGCCTGAAGGCAGGACAAGAAGCAACGGATGGAAACTCATCAAGGAGAGAAGCAGCCTCGAACTAAGGAGAAATTTCCTGACCCTTAAGAACAATTGATCAGTGTCACCACCTGCCTCCAGAAGCTGTGAATGCTCCAACCCTGGAAGTTTTTAAGAAGAGGCGGGTTAGTTTCCATCTATTGCTTCTTGTCCTGCCTTCAGGCGCTTTGGAGAATAGCTTGACTCCTTCTTCTTTGTGGCAGCCCCTGAGATATTGGAAGACTGCTATCATGTCACACCTTATCTTTCTCTTCATTAAACTAGACATACCCAATTCCAGCAACCGTTCCTTATATGCTTTAGCCTCCAGTCCCCTAATCATCTTTGTTGCTCTTCTCTGTACTGATGAAAATTAGCCCAGAGAAGAAATATTAAAAAGGGCAGAAAAATATATTTTTCCTCAAAAGGACTTTTTAAAACCAAACCTGGCCCCAAATCTATCTCTCTGCCCCAAGCAAGACTTTAGCCCAATACAAATGCAGATGTAAAACCATCAGAAAGTTGAAGCCAGAGCAATCAAGAAGACAAAAGAGAAGATCTGCATACCCCACCCAAACTCTAGGAATCAGCCCCATCACCTGGGAAGCAGGATATGATAATAGAATTAAACCACAGATCTCAAGGCCTAGACAAACACTCAGAAACAGCCTCAAGGTTCATGCCACAGGAACAGGAAACTTCCAAACAAAAGGCTAGGGGGGTATAAAACCTACTGCCCATGTGCTCAATCTCTCTGTTCTTCTCTCTCCTCTGCACTTTCCTGAAGAACCATCTTTCTGCAATAAACTGTAACCTTCTTCCCAAAGCAGTCGCCATGTTTGCTTATTTATTCCCGGCTTGGATGAACCAGGATGAAGACTTTACTTCTAACAGTACTCTTTCTAGAGTCTCAACATCTTTTCTACATTGTGGTGACCAAAACTGGATGCGGTATTCCAAGTGTGGCCTTACCAAGGCATTGTAAAGTGGCATTAACACTTCATGTGATCTTGATTCTATCCCTTTGTTAAAGCAGCCTAGCACTGCGTTGGCCTTTTTGGCAGCTGCAGCACACTGCTGGCTCATATTTAAGTGATTGTCCACTAGGACTCCGAGATTCCTCTCACAGTTGCTACTATTGAGCAAGGTACCACCTATAATATACCTGTGCATTTGGTTTTTCTTTCCTAAATGTAGAACCTTACTTTTTTCACCATTAAATTTCATTTTGTTAGATAGCGCCCAGTGTTCAAGTCTGTCCAGATCCTTCTGTATCTTAAGCCTGTCTTCTGGAGTGTTGGCTATTCCTGCCAGCTTGGTGTCGTCTGCAAATTTGATGAGTTCCCCATCTATCCCCTCATCCAAATCGTTGATGAAGATGTTGAAGAGCACTGGACCCAGAACGGAGCCTTGGGGCACCACACCACACACTTCCCTCCATATAGATGCAGTTCCATTGAGGACCACACGCTGAGTACAGCCAGTCAGCCAGCTATGGATCCATCTGGTGGTGATGCTGTCTAATCCACATTTGTGTATCTTATCAAGTAGTAAGTTGTGGTCCATTTTATCAAATGCCTTACTGAAGTCCAAGTAAATTATATCCACAGCATTCCTCTGGTCCACTAAATTTGTCACCTGGTCAAAGAATGCAATAAGATTTGTCTGGCATGATCTGTTTTTGACAAACCTATGTTGGCTTTTGGTTATGACTTTGTTTGCCTCTAGGTGTTTGCTGATTTGTTGTTTATCTTTTTCAGAATCTTCCCAGGTATTGAGGTCAGGCTGATAGGTCTGTAGTTTCCTGGATCCATTCCCCCCCCCTTTTTTTTGAAGATGGGAACTATTTCATCTCTTTTCCAGTCCTCTGGTACTTCCCCAGTGCTCCAGGATCTTTGAAAGATATAGTTCAGTGGTTCTGAGATCACATCTGACAGTTCCTTCAGAACCTTGGGGTGTAGTCCATCTGGTCCTGGTGATTTGAACTCATCTAGGGTGGGCAGGTGCTCACTTACCATTTTCTTGCCTATCTTAACTTGCGTTTCTAATCTGTTTTTTACAGTACCGTTTTTGATAGGTTGGACTGTTTTTTCCCTTTGTGTAAATACGGATGCAAAAAATGAGTTGAGTAGTTCTGCATTTTCCATGTTGCTTCTCACCTTCTTGCCACTTCCTCCCACTAATGGACCAATCATTTCCTTTTCTCTTGTTTTTTACATGTTGAAAGAAGCTTTTTTTTGTTATTTTTGACTTTTGTTACAAGCCTTAGTTCTGTGGTGGCGAACCTATGGCACATGGGCCACAGGTGGCACGCAGAGCCCTCTCTGTGGGCATGCATGTCGTCGCCCCAATCCTAGGCCTTCAGCTGGGTTTCATAAAACCTTTTTACTTTAGGCCTCTGCCAGCATGTGCAAAAAAAAAAAAAAAGGTTCAATCAATCAATCAATTTCAACTTTTTGTGGGGAAAAAAAGATGTCGCAAAGTTGGAATTGATTGACTGAACTTTTTAGTCCCACCCAGTCTGCTGTTACCACTGCAGCCACGCCGACCCAATGGGCCACACCCACCCAATGGGCCACACCCACCCGGCACACAACAATACATAAGTGGGTTTTGGGTTGCAGTTTGGGCACTCAGTCCCTAAAAGGTTCGCCATCACTGCCTTAGTTCATTTTGAGCCTTAGCTTTCCTCACTCCATCTTTGCAGGCTCACATCTGCCAGTTCCTTCAGAACCTTGGGGTGTAGCCCATCTGGTCCAGGTGATTTGAACTCATCTAGGGTGGACAGGTGCTCACCATTTTACTACTACTATTATTATTATATCTGAGAGGGAGGGACAATGAGAGAGGGAGAGAGAAAGAGAACAAGACAAAAGGTGAATAAGAATTGAAAAAGAACCATAAAAGCTCAAGCACATTAATTTATGAATCATAAGCATTTCCTCTGGATCTTGCTCATTCAGTTTTCTGATAATTGGAGACAGAATTGAATTTCCACTGCCGCCTTGTGATAAATTTCCAACTATGACTCAGTCTAGCTGGCTGAGTTTCACTTTCTCCTGTTGGCCTCCCATCCTGTCTGACACACCCACTTAGCTTTTTGAAATGGACCAAGATAATCTATGTGATTGGAAACGGTGCTGTTCATTTTTAGCTCTCTCTAAAAGTTTTTTGGGGGGGGGCACCAAAAGGGGTTGGGAATTGCATTCCCCCTTGCAAGGAATCAGTCTAAAGGATCCCCTCTGGGAGGTTCAGAAATGAGGATTAAAAAAACTAGCTGACAGTTTTTAACCACAAAAGCTTGCTCATAATAACAACACTAACTGCTCATGCCTGTGCAGGTGCGTTCCAACAAAACGGAACCTGTGAGCCAGGCAAACGTTCACACACTGCTAACAGAGAAACTTAGGAAAGGCCAAAGCCAATGGGGAACTAGCCAAAGGGTGGGGAGGAATATAAACACGGGTGGGGGATTCACATGGGTGAGTTAGGCATTCTGGTTAGGGTGTAAACCTTGTGGTCCTTGTCAAATGGCGTTGCAAGGGAAGGACTTTGGCTTCCGGCCTGGTGAATAAAATTATGCCGAAATCTCTTTTGGGCTGTGCCAACTTGCTAGCCAGCCGCTCTTGCAAGAATATATTTTTCAATAAACTGCTTGCTGTCAACTCTACCATGAGCCTGGCTGCAGCCATCTTTCTCGTCATTCTAGGTTGCCACACCGGAGGGAGGGAGGGGGGCTTACCCAGGTGCTTCACTAGTCATAATAATCTTCTGTCCCATGGGAACCAAGGTCATCTGCTGCTCCCGCAATCATTTGGTGGGCGTTGTATTAGAAAGCCCACCAAATGAATATTATGATTATGATTAATAATAATAATAAAGTTGGAAGGGACCTTGGAAGTCATCTAGTCTAACTCCCTGCTCAGGCAGGAAACCCTATACCATTTCAGACAAAGGCTGTCCAGTCTCTTCTTAAAAACTTCCAGTGTTGGAACATTCACAGCTTCTGGAGGTAGGTTGTTCCACTGATCAATTGTTCTTAACGATCAGGAAGTTTCTCCTTAGTTCTAGGTTGCTTCTCTCCTTGATTAATTTCCATCCATTGCTTCTTGTCCTACCTTCAGATGCTTTGGAGAAGAGCTTCACTCCCAAAGTTTTGAGTTTTGCACTCTGTTTCCCAGAATGACTCACATTATTTCATCTGTATTGACCGTGTTTCGTTTCTCAGCTGAGGTTTCTGACCGGAAGCAATGCAACCGAGGGGAAATCTCTGTTATTCTCTAAGGCAGGCCCTAGGGCACCAGAAGAAGTCATAAGAAGTCATTGGGTGGGGGAGCTGGTTAAAGAGAAAGTCAAGCTAGAAGCAAGGAGAATTTTTCTGACAGTGAGAACAATCAGTGGAATAGTTTGCCTCCTGGAGTTTTGGGGGCTCCATCACTGGAGAGTTTCAAAAATAGACTGGACAACCATTTGACCAGGATGGCGTAAGGTCGCCTACCTTGATCAGGGGTTGGACTAGAGAACCTCTGAGGTCCCTTTCAGCCTTATGGTTCTATGACTCCATGCAACTTTTCTCATTAACTTACTAAATTCTCCACCGACAGGT